GTAGTCCATTTGTACGCGTCGAACTTCTTCAGGAAGTGTTCCAAAGGGATGGCGCTATCCACTCGTTTCAGTTTGGGTGCGTATTTTCGTGCGTCAGCATAAGCGGAACGGGAAGGACGGTCCCCATGGTCATCGTACGGGGGCACGTATGGAAACCTGGGTGCGCCTCCACCTCCATGGTCATGGCCGCCACCTCCAGGTCCACCTCCCCCGGGAGGTCCGGGGGGATCTCCTCGGCCTCCAGAGCGTTCGAAAGGGTTGTGTCCCCCGGGCCCCCCTGGAGCTGGGTATGACGAAGGAGGGCCGGGAGGGTTGCTGGATCCTCCACCGAATACACCGCCGCGGTCTCCGTAGGCCGGTGTGAAGTAAGGTGGGCTGGGGTTGCTGTGTCCACGCATCCCGTACGAGTCCTGGGGTATGTACTCGGGGGGTTCTCGTTGCCTTGGTCTTTCGGGCATGAACGGCTTTTGGGAAGTCACAGCACGGCCGTAGACGCCTGCCGGCACCGGCATCGACATGGTTTCCGTAGCCACCTCGGTTTGTTGCATAAACACCGGGATAGGGTCCATTGTCCGTTGAGGTGTACCCGCCATTGAGTAGGGGGCCTGGAGTACTGATGACGTCGTGAAAGTCGAAAGACTCCCCTTCGAAGGGGAACCTTTCCGGGACGAGGCGGGTGTCGCGTAGGGAGTCCCGACCGAACCGGATCTGAGTCGGCCTTCCTGAAGTTGCAAGGCCAACGTTTTCTGATCCACTTGTAAGGAAGACTGTTGCCGACGGAGGTTCGAGTAAGACTTGTTGACTTCCTGAGCGAAAGCTTCTCTTTCCCTGAGGAGGGTTTTCTCTTCTTCCCGCAGGAGGGTCGCGTTAGGCCCAATTGTGTCTGAGCGTCGGACACCTTTTGTAGGATTGCTTCGTGTTCTTCCAGCGACTTCATGGGCTCCTCTCTTTCTTGAGTTACTACACGCCGTTCCTCCGAGTCACGATCCAACGTTAGCGCCAGTACTTGTTCTTGGACACCCCTTTCCATTTCCTCGCGTAGGGTCTGCTCCTCTTGTAGCTCCTGTTCGTACCGAGTGTGAACTTGTAGGAGCTGTTCTTGGAGTTGAGACCCTCGGGTTTCATTTTCCTGAAACCGGGCCTGGGCTTCGTTCAGAGCCTCGTGAGAGACCAGCGTACGTTGTTCGGACTCCTGGAGCTGACGGCGCCCTTTTTCCCAGAGTTGTTCGAAACGTTCTCTCTGCCGATCAGTCTCGCGGAGTTGTTCTTCCAGGAGTCGGAGTCTTTCCGTGAGG